TAAAGTTCGTGTGCCATTTAAAATACTTTAACATAGTAAATGGCACACAAACTCTATGTCCACCCTGTATTTACCTTTCAGTTCTCTGCTTTTAAACTTCCATTTCAGTTGATGTCATTTTTCTTTTTGTACTTACGTTCCTTCTAGTCCTGACTGATTTTGTAAAAGCAAAACGATTGTTATAAATAACGCATTTTTAATAAAATGAACCATTATGCCTTTTGAAAGCTTTTAAGTAGTGATAATGTTCTCAAAACCTTTGATGCTCATCAAAATAACCAGGGGAACCTTAAAAATTGTGTATGGGTACACAGGACATTAGATTTTTGTTTTTGAAAGCTTCATAGGCAATTTTGTTGCAGAGGCAGTTTGAAGATCAAGTCACCTCCACCTTTCATACAGAATATGGTGTGTTTCAGAGAGTTTGTTTTGTTTTCTAAATAGCGCACTGGCTTTACATGTAATCCCTGGATTATTTTGTCATTCTTCAAAAGAAATGAATTAATGAGCTTCAACATTTGTTATATTTAATCTATAAATGCTGTATCTGTTCTGCTACAGTGAACACATTGTGTCTCTTTGTTTTCTGAGACACAATAAGTCAGTTAATAACGCTACAGTCACCTCAAGGGAAAGGAGGAGTTATAGGTCCCTCACATTCAATCAAAAACTAGAAATGATTAAGCTTAGTAAGGAGGGCATGTCCAAAGTTGAGATAAGCTGAAAGCTAGGCCCCTTGTGCCAAATAGTTAGCTAAGTTGTGAATCCAAAGAAAACATTCTTAAAGGAAATTAAGATTGCTAATCCAGCAAACATATGATAAGAAAGTGAAACAGCCTTCTTGCCGACAGTCTTATTGGCTGCTGTAGTACCAACGTGCACTTACGTTACTAAGTCCAACATATGGGTTATTTATATTTTCCTTTAAGAGATCAGATTGCTTTTAGCCTTTTTAAAAACTTCCCTTATATTAAATTGATAACCGTTTTACCTTAATCAGAACCTTAGCTTTGAAATTGTGAATTCCTGAAAGTGTTACTAGTTAAGTTTGTTACTAAAACTAAACCTGCAAAATTATGGTGGTTGTATTCAAAAAAATTAATGAGAAATAAAAATGACCAATATACCTGTCATAGGAGAAAATAGCGGTGCTTACTTCTGATCTTTGGTTAAATGTTATTATCTCTTTTTCTAAACTATAGTCTAGTTTATTAACTAGTCATGATACACATGGAAAAAGTTTCAGTGGTCTCAGAAAATAAAACCAGCCACAACATTTCCTTAAGCCAAAGTCTAATAAAGAGCAAAAGCCTTAACTCATTAATTCTGCGAAGCCTAAGAGAGGTGAGAAAGCTGCAGAAGAAAGGTTAGAAGCTGCGAGTGGTTTGTTATGAAGTTTAAAGAAAGAAACTATCTCCGTAACATGAAGTCAAGGTGAAGCAGCAAGTGCTGGTAGCATCTGTAGCAAGTTCTCCAGAAACCTGATTAAGATAATCCAGGAAGGTGGGTGCACTAAATCACAGATTGTCAGTATAGATGAAATAACCTTCAATTGGCAGAAGACACCATCTGGGACCATCCCAGCTACAGAGGAGAAGTCAGTGCCTGGCCTCAAAGCTTTAAGATAGGCTGACTCTTCCTAGAGGCTAATATAGCTGGTGACTTTAAATGGAAGCCACTGTTCACTTATAATTCCACAAATCCTAGCGTCCTCAAAAATTATGTTAAATTTACTCTGCTTATGCTAAGTGGAACACCACAACCTGAATGACAGTACATTTGTTTATAACCTGGTTTACTGAATATTTTAAGCCCATTGTTGAGACCTAGTTCTCTGAAAAAAAGATTCCTTTTGAAATGTGCTCATTGACAATGCATTTGGTTACCCAGGTGCTCTGATGGAGATGTACAAGGAGATTAATGTTTTCATGTCTGCTAATGCAATTTTCATTGTGCAGCCCATTTATAAAGGAGTAGTTTCAACTTTCAAGTCCTGTTATTTAAGAAATACATTCAACATTACCAGGAGTTAGGAAGAAGTTGATTCCAGCCCTCACGGATAAGTTGAGGTGTTCAAGACTTCAGTGGAGGAAGCAAGTACAGATGTGGTAGAAATAGCAAGAGAATTAGAATTAGAAGGGACCTCTGAGGATGGAACTGAATAGCTGCAATCTCATGAGAAAACTTGAATGGGTAAAGAGCTGTGTTCTATGAAGGAGCAAAGAAACTGGTTTCTTGAGATGAAATCTACTCTTGGTTAAGGTGACCAGACATCCC